GGGTGAACATTTTATCAAATATTAACTTCTCTATGGCTGCCACCTTTCCCTATTCTCATGGTAATACTTGGTGGACTCCACCCACCACAGATGTACTTTTGAACGTACGTGAATGTGCAAATCTTTTGATGACGTTCAGCATATTTTAATTCATCTTTTTATTTAAGCATGTAAAAAAAATACAAAGGGGAAGCATTAGAGGTGCGACACAAAGAACAACAAAACATATGCTGTCATTCTCTGAGGCCATTGGATGTTGACATTGTCAGTAGGCAAGATGATTTAATTAAAAGATGGATAAAAGAAAGACCACAATCTGTTTTCAAGTCTTGTTGGATAATTCAAGCTTATATTTCACTTTGTGTTTATCCTTTAAACTTATCCTTCATATTTTATAAAATGGAGGCAAATTGGGACTTTATTCACTTAAAACACATAGTTGTTCTTTCTTTATTTTTATTTAACAAAGCAAGTGGAGCAATTGCTCCCATATGTTTTACCATGCAAGGACAAGTTTATCCCTTATATTAAAAAAATAAAAATAAAAAAAAGATCAACCACACAGATATTTTGCTTGCTAAACAGAAGGAATTCTGGTGGTCAACTTCTGGGAATCATTGTCTATGAGTGAATGAAGTCAAATGAGAAAAATCCACTTTTACCGGTAGCTTTCCTGTTCACTGAACACAACAGAAAAAAATCTAGATAGTTTTTCAACTTGCAGCTAGGACCCAGTTCAGCTCAGTGCAGCATAACTCTGAGAGGTAAAAACTATTAACTGAAATACTTTAACACTTTAACAGCAGGTAAAGGGAAAAAAACTAAAAACATATTTGTGTTTCATTAGAAAATATATCCACAACAATACATAAAGTAAAAAAGGGTGAATATACTCAGCTATGATCATGAAACATGCATCAAGGCCAAAAGAATAAAGTTCCAAATAAAAAAAAAAGGGGGCAAATTAGGTTTCTTTATAATAAGGCTGGGTTTGGCTTTAAATACAGACTAAAGGGATGATTGGGTTTCCATTCTGAATCCAACACCCAATATCTGATCTCAGATACATTCTAATGTTCTAGTTTTTTAAATTTGAGTAAAATAAAAATTTGATATGATAAAATATTGCTTCATTTTCCGTTAAACAAGATTAATTTTAAAGCTGCAGGTCACTGTTTTTAAGGGATTTATTATAATTTTTATATTACATTTTTATAATGGCCTATAAACAGCTCATAGTGGCAGCCCATCATTTTAAAAATAACCAAGTTTACATATTAAAGAACAAACACTGCAATGTTAAAGCTTACAACCTGAAATGAAAATACAAATCCATGACATAAGACAGACTCCTTGCTGTCCTTGTCGCTCCATGTGCAGATTTATTTACGGGGCCAAAATGACTTTGCATTTCTGTTTGTTCCAAAAAGGAGCTAAAGCTGCTCCAAGCCTGGATTAGAAGCTTCCAGCAGGTTTCTTTGGGGGTTTATGTGTTAAACCAAAACTAGAGGGAACCTACAACAGCCAATTACACTCTCTCTTGGGTGAAAGTTGGTATATGTGTGTGTGTGTAAAATAAATTGGGAGATGGTGCAGACACACACACACACACACACACACACACACACACACACACACACACACACACACACAAACACACACACACACACACACACACACACACACACACACACACACACAGAGAAGAAGTGCATGTTCAAGTGGAGCTGGCATCTGGTGCCACTCAATTAGCTGCAACCTGCTTGCCAATAGCCTGAATCCATTTAACAAGGGCATGAGTAAGCACACATGGACACAAACACACACATGTGCACCCCACACCCACCCACACACACACACACACACACACACAAAACCTTGAGGAGCAAAAATTAAACAGTGACAATGTGACTAACAAAAGGCTTGCAAATACAGCTCTGGCTTTGCTCTAGCAGCTCTGTCTTTACTTTTTTTTTTAAAGAAAACACAAACCATCTCTTCAGCTTCTGCTTTGTTTTCCTTAAATTGGACCGGACTCGAGTCGGGGAAACAAACAAATGGATTCAGGATCAATTGAAAAAACACTGTCTAGAAAGTCAATACAACTAGTGGGTTTCCAGGCAGAACCGTCCTTCATGCTCACGTCTCCTTCTTTCCAATGTTATATAAATCTGCTAAGAACTAACTTAATTTGGAGTAATAACATTCCTTATCATTAAATTGAATACACCATGAGCTGTAGTGTTGAATATTTATCACACTTTAAGAAAAAAACTCCTCTGAGCTGTTCCTTCACAGCAGCTAAAGGAGGAAAACGTCTTTTAATGGAATGTTTGCAATTCAAAACAACTAATTTGCAATACTTTGTTTATTATTTAAAAAAACTTGATCTTACTTGTGAATAAAAAAGCAGACAAAATTTGTCGTGGATCATTACAATCCCATAGCGCCACATGAGATGCCTGTAGATTGAGGCTGGATGAAAAATGTTATTTTATTTATCATTTGTCAAAGAAGCTGGCGGATTCCCTGCTGCTTTGAATGCATTAACAACCAATGTTCAGAGGCAGTTTCAACAGAGAAAAGTGGTACAGTGATATGACAGCAAACTCTTCCCATCACTCTTCTGCTTTATACACAGAGATAAAACAAAATGAGAAACTTAATTTTGAAGCTTATTTGAGTGTTTATACACGTCAGTTTGAACATGTTTTGTTGTGAGTTAAATGATGAGCTTGGTAATTGATATAGAGGCTGTAAACGAGGAAAAAACATTGAATATCTTTAAAAAAATACCCACCCAGGGCGCCCTTAACACAAAATTAGCTGTTGCAGACTTTTTTCCACATTGAAACCATAAACTCTAAGGTATACAATTAGGAATATATCTGGTAGACCAACATAATTATGATTGGAAGGGAAAAAAAAGGCTTGGTTTTGAAATAAAAACCCAACCATCATCTAGAGATTCAATCATTATTCTCTGTAAAATACCTCCAGCTAAAAATAAAAGTAGAGCCTTGGCGAGACATTTCTATGTTAAGTTTAGGTCTGGACTTTGACTAGGCCATTCTTAGACATGAATATGAATTCATTCTTATTCACCACATTGTAGTTCTGCAGTGTAATTATGGTTATTGTCCTACCTTACTACTACCACACAAGGTGCTACCATAACCATGCTCCATAGTGAATTTGGTGTGTTTAAGGTGAATCCAATGTTAAGCCTGGTTTATGCTTGAAGCGTCTGCAAGGTCCAGGAAGCCAAATTGCATAACGTTTGGCCCCACCTCCCCTCTGTGCCGCCTCCATAGGGACACAATTTCTGTACCATACACCTGGAAAAATGTGTAGCTATGCAGACAGATGACATCCAGTGATTTAGCTTATAAATATCACCACTATCAACAGATTGTGGAAAAACCCCTGGAAAGGAGTGATTGTCAGTTTTAGACGCCACAAAGAGGAATAATAAATTTAAAAATAACTGTGTTTTCCACTTCCTCATGTGGTGTGGTGTTACTGTTTGTGATGCATACGTCACCTTGGAGCTGGCCAGAATGGGGGAAAGCCGTACATAGTCGAAAAGCTGCAGATGTTGTGATCGGCGGCTAATTTTCCACGTGGGTTGTACATGTTTCAAGCATAATGCAACCTTAAATGTATAGTGGAGGATTTTCGGGAATTTTTGAAAAGAACTGCCCTCTCCATTAAAAAAAATGCACATGCACAACCCTGTACCCGCGCCCGAGAGGGAAGGCATATTAATCGAGTGCGAGAGCATGCACAAGCTCATTATTCCTTGTGCATGCTCTGTTTAAAAGTTGATGTTTGCATTATTCATTAAAGCTTAATTTCTAAAAGAAGATTTGCAATTTTCAGACTTACCACCGGTAAGTGAAAATGGGGACGAGCACGTAGGAGGGCCTTATATAAACATATGACCAGAATGATTGACAGTTAGAAAGACCACTAAGTTTGATCATCCACCCAGAAAAAGAACATCCTCCCCTATGCCTTTAAGTTCTTTGCAATATTGAACATTTCTATACAGAGCAAAACAGTAATACCATAAAGTTTCATTTTGGGTTGAAATGGTCTGGCTCTGTTAAAGTTTTAACATTCTTTACTATATTTTATATCAAAAACCACTTTCTTCTTGTCCCCTTGGAGTCTTTCCAGGGGGTTTCTAAAATGTAGATGTACTTTGAAGCTTGGCATATTGTTTAATAACTAAACCTTGGATTATACCTCTCCACATTACTTAGGAAAACATCTTACAAACCAAAACATTAGCACCTTTTCTACAGAAAAAAAACTCTGACAAATTAGTGGCCATAGAAGAGGAGCTATTTAGAGATTTGCTGAAATTAAGCTAAGATTAAATCAAGCCCTGTTGAAAAAAAATCAAAACAACTGGACTTTATCTCAGAAGGATTTTTTAATTATTTTTTTCCCTGGATGACTGAGAATCTCAACCAGCCTGACTCTAGTCCCCCAGACCTACTTCAAATACTAGCCTCCCTGTTTAAATGAAATGGCTGAATCCACTCATTAGCATTTCTTTCAGTTCTGCAGAGGTCTGATAAAGAGCCATTTATATGATTCAGGTTTGTTAGAGAAAAAATGCAGCTAAAAATTGTACAATAGTAGGTCCTCAGGAGGGGAGTTGAGCAACCCATAATCATAATTGATATCATAATGGATTTTATTTTGGTCAGAGGAAAATGGCCCTAATATAATGTAGACAATCAGACATATGTGTGAATTTTACAGCCTACTATAAATGACATTATAAAATACATAAAAAAGTTATGTTTATGGAGTTGTTTATGTTTATGGAGATATTTCAATAAACGAAAGCAGAGCCCTATGTCTTTGGGCGCAAAACCAACTTGGTTGTAGGATAAACGTCCCCAATTGTTAGCTGAAGACATCCTTCAAAAGCACACAAAATGTGTGGCAGTAATATAAGTGAATAAAAGGAAGTGAGTGCTTACCTGTCGCAGTGGTTGCACTTGAACGGTTTCGCTCCAGTGTGTTTGCGGTAGTGTCGTGTCAGCTCGTCACTGCGGGCAAAGCGCCATTCACAGCCCTCCCATGAGCATTTATAGGGCTTCTCACCTGACGGAGCCACAGAGAGATGGAGGGGAAAAAAGAGCAGAAGGTGTTAGGTTTTATAACAATTTCTACATCTAATTTCACACGTCTAAACTACAGCTGTTCACTAATATGCAGGTTACCACCCCTAGGTTTTCCTCCAAACACACACACACTCATATCCAGCCCAGGGGCGGCCAGGCAGAGCAGTTTTACACAACAGCCATTTTAATGAGCCAACACACTCAATTAGCTGTAAATGAAGTCTTTCAGCACTGTAGCATGTTAATTCATAATCCCAAATTCACCCTGAAATGAATCTCGTTTTGTTCCCTTTATTACCACACCTCTGCCCATCCACGCACAAGCGCACACACAAGGAGGAGCAAGGAGGGGGTCTGAAATGTAAATGAAGTTTCATCCTCCGGTTCACCAGATGGGAGAAGAGATGGGCTATTGTTCTCAGCCTGTAGTTATCTCACCATGATAGAAAGCCTTCCAGCTGTGTGTGTGTGTTTTGTTAGAGGGGTGTGTGTGCGTGTGTAGCATGTAAGAGCAGACTGTCTTCAGATGGGACCTGATGATGGGTCTCCATGTGAAGCGTTCTCTCCTGTCTGATCAAGCACTGGGTAAGATGAGGCAGAAGTTCATCTGGATTTTCAGTGCTCAAAAACTGGTAGCGTAACCAAGTAGGGAGGAGAATAAATGCAAATATGTTAAGAGGTTAAAATAATAAGAAATCAACAACATTTTATCTTAATGAGAGTATTAAATTACTAAACCTAATCAGATGCTGTTGCTGCAAAGTATTTTCTTGGCTATATTAGATTATCTACCAGAAGGAATAGCTTACCTGCCTATGAGGGTCTAAAACAACAAAAATTTCAAAAGGTTTCAGGTGAACCTCCACCCCAGCCCAACAGTTCCCAAACTGTCACTGGTTTTCTTCAAAGGTTACCCCGTCCTATTGCATGAAGCACGCAGGGGGTGTGGCAGTGGTGCAGAGATAAGTGCATGACCCATGTACAGAGGCTTTGGTCATTGCTCCATAGCTCACAAGTTCGAGTCCCAACTTGTTGACCTTTGCTTGCAGCATGTCTTTCCCCTCTCTCTGATCCCATTTTCTTTCTGCCTATTTTCAAAAAGCATGATGCAAAACTATATTTTTTTATTTAAAGCCTGCAGATCCATTTACCAAAAAAGGCATACTCATACTTTATAAGGCATTTCTCAACTTGTAAACTGCGTAAATCGTTCTTGTTATCAACTGACATGAAGGTTATGGAGATGATCTGGATGTGAAAATTTGTAAGTAAATTATTCTGGATAAATTAAATTTAAATGGCCAGAAAATAACTTTCGCCTAAAAAAACCCTAAGGATGTTTACATACAAAATGTCCAACTTTTTCAGTTATAAAAGAAATAAAACAACATAAACTGTAGCCACATCACCTTGGTTACATAAGTAGCAAGTTTTGTGTCCATTAGGCAACTCAGAAGTTATAGATGTTTAAATTGAAAAGAATACTGGCAGACCCCTGTGGTGCTATTTTAGCACAGACGAACGGGCGTATCTAAATTACCGTCCAATCATGGAGACTCACACATCTTTGGGAAAGTTGCATTCTGCAGAATTAAGTGATATGCACCGATGTGAAATAGACAGAAGCCCCAGCGAATCACAGGCGAGAGTATCAGAGGTCTTTGTGAATTAAGCACAGGGACAGTTTCCATATATAGGCATGCTGTGGGTCCGTATGCGGATAAATGATAGGCTATCGGTTAAATATATACTCCAGAAACAGACCTTTGTTTGGATAAAAACAACCTCTGATGGAAAACCCTCAAGGAGAAATAGGACAGATTTTATGTGCCTTTCTTGGGTTGGCTGTGTATTAGAGAATTTTTCTGAGTGGTCATCTGCAAATCGTCAGTTTTGCTAAGAATTTGACTGCTATGGATTCAGTGTCTTCTTGGTTTTCATTAGAGGCGCATCAATCGGCATTTCTACATGTGTTGTTGAACCTGGGCCCAGTAAAACACAAAATGGGCCATAAATTGCAGTTTGGGCACACTTAGTGTTTTTTGTAATGTTGCTGAAGCTGTGGTTGGTGGATATTAGAATGACGTAGATAGTCTTGTAGATGAGTCCCAGATGAAGATCTGGACATGTGATAAGTGGGTTTCAGTTTTAGGCTGTGTCAGAATGTCCGCTCTAATCACTATATAGCACAATATATGGTGGTTACGCCATTTTAAATGAGTATACGAATGGCTAGTGGATGAAAAAGTAGTGGTCTCGAAATTTCCCACAATGCACCTTGAAAAGTAGTGATCATCTATGGCCAATAGATAAGCATATATATATCAGATTGCTTTGATTGTGGAGCTTTCCTTGCAAAGCATTATGGGATTTTCTGTCCCTGCAGCCCGCTGTCACCATAGGCTGTCGCTACCCAATGTCGGCGACTGATAACAAAGATGGCGCAGGCACCAAGAGGTGGAAGCAGAATTACGTGACCAACGGGGAGCGGAAAGTAGTGATCATCAGTCCGAACGGTCAGTTAACTGAGTTCCCTATAAAGTGCTCTATATAGTCTCCACTCTATATAGTGATTAAATTATATAGGGGTTAGGGAGGACGTTCGGGCACAGCCAGAGTTAGTTAGCGTCAAGCTTATTATTGTTATAAAAGAGCTCCAGCCCAATTTAAAACCTTAAGCCCGAGCGGCCCCTTTCTTCAGGTTCCATCAACTCTGATCAGCTTCTGTGTTCATTCTCAACACAAAGGGGAGTCGTAAGTGTTTCAGTCAACAATAAATGTATTTAAAACTTCCGCATGAGCCTCTTGAATTACCCATGCACTTAAAGGAATAGTCTTAGTGGCTTTAACTAAGTGGGAAGTGACTCATCATATTAGACATTGTTATTCATACAGAGCAACAAAGGAAAAAAAAAACGTGCTAAAGAACAGCTAAGATCATTAATGGTCGCGTGGTTTTTGTTACTTTTACATTTATATGAACCGTAGAGTTAGAATAATCCAAAAGAAACAATGAAGGAAAAATTTCCCTTAATGTTTTCAAATGAAGAAAAGTTGATATGTATACATGCTATACAATGTGCTTCCGTTACTAATTCTATATTGCCTAAATATAAATGTGCCAATCATTCAAGGTTGTTAGGACTTATTTTCATATCAATGCAGTGTCAGTTTGCCTTTAGGCTTACTTGGAATTTGTTTTTTTAAAAAGGCTTTTATTTCATATAATTCAAATGAACTGTATTCTTTTGGTGATACTATTGTAAATTACTTTCCAAAACATTGTAGAAAATTCTTTTTCCTTTTTAGATAGCCCAAACTCTTATAAAACCAAAATAAGTCTCATGTCTTAATTTCCTATTGGAGACTAAATAAATACTTATAATTGCTTCAAAGTTGTCAGTTTCTAAACCAGAAACAAAGATTTCTCTTGAGTATAAAAATAAAGAAAAATAAACTGCAAAAAGGTAAAGGGAAAAAATGTCAAACAGCCTTTTTAGGTGAGTAAACTAACAAATAGCTGGTCCATGTTGAATAGTGTTGAAATGTGAACTTAAACCCAAGAGGCTCATGCAGAGGGCAGCTTATTTCCTTACTTTGTACGGACAGAAGGATTTTTATTCACCTAAATCATCAACATTCCCATGACAATGCTCCATATTTCCTACTTCTTTAACAATAAAATTACGTTTTTTCTATAGTGTCTTTAATTTCATATTCACCAGACAAGAGGATACATGAAAGGTCTCTGGGTTGGGCTTCAAACCTGAACCTTAACTGGACCATGTGCCCGGCTGTGAACTGAGGGGTGTTTACAATGCTTGTGGTCTTCATGACTCCTAATGGACAGGGATATGCCGTTGTTCAGTCAGCATACCAGATGTCCCACTAGCCCCCTATTCTCTTGTCACAGCACACATCAATCCTTTTAAGAAGACAAACATGTACAAATTCACAGCTAAGTGGAACTAATGTGGTCTGAAGCATCAGGAAACATGTTTAAAAGCCAAACATTTCCATTAAAAAAGCTTTTTACTCACAAGTGATCCAGTTGTTAAACGTAATTGTGGTTTTAGGCATCACAATCAGAATGGAAATAAAACAGTTGTGCACAGTGTATGCTAAGAGAAGAAAGAATATCAGTTTGTCTGGGATACAAAGTGGAACGCTGTTGTGCTGCATGATTTTATAAGAGATACATTGATTTCTTTTAATGACAAGTTTTTAATCTGTAATGTTTTAAACATTTGACTTCCTGACACAGAGTTTAAGCAATTTATTATTTTCTTTTTAGAGCTACAAAATAGGAATATACAGTACTATTAAAAAATATGTATATTTCTAGCCTGCCTGCCGTATGCAATTAGTCCTGTCAGAACACAATAATATCCACTGTACTGTAAAATACAGTTTTAGATTGAATAATTTAGGAGTTGATATGCAACTTAGTTTAATATGGAGGACAAAGGGCGCTATATCTAAAAATAAATACAGTAATGAAAAAAAGACTAAATGAAAAAATAGTGAGCCAAAAATTGCTTAACTTGAATAAATGTGCCATAGTGATTCTCCTCACTTAAACCTCTTCACTTAGTAACAGACCTCCAGACTGAAGGGTGTTTTTTGTCAGTATTACCTGGTAAGGCTCAAATATTGTTAATTCACTGGTAGGATATGCATTAAATATCTAAGCATCTCTACGTATACAGAAGTAATTCAGGAAATTTTATTGGCAGGGCTATCAATTTTACCACTTTATAAAGTCTGAAAAAATCAACAACAGAAAAATAACACCCTGAACAAACACAGCACTTGTTGTTGTTGGAGCAAGATGTCAGAGAAACAATGAATGAGAAACAGAAACAGACCATAACTTCTTCATCTTACTCTAACAAGAGAAAAAGCTACCTGTCAACTCCTTTTGTAAACCGTAACTCCACTGATTCAACACTCGAACCATCAGAATAGAATACACCAAGC